CACTAAGCAAGGTTTAACTTGTGATGTAATGATACCATCTATCTGTTCCTACACCCTTCCCTTTAAGGCAAACACTTGTATCAGTTGTTAATAGTATCTCATATGGTCCCTCCCACCTAGGTTCTAAACCTCTCCTAACAATACGTTTGACCATAACAAAACTGCCTAACTCAGGAATGTGTGGAATGTCAGTAGTGGTGTGTTTTTCATCCCATTGCTGTTGAGATTCTCGCACTTTCTTATTATTGTCTTTGATAGCTTTGTCCAGCATTGTGATATAGCATTATAACTTCTCTTGGAACAAAGTAGAGTCTCCTCCTGTTCCTGCAGGTGGCATAGCATCAGGAAGTAGAACCATTGCTGTTCCAGTAATCAGCTACACATAATTCCCTCAATGAGCTGACGAACTTCAGTCCACGTCCTCCCTTGAGAGGTTTCATCATGGTTTTGGTACCTGAAATCACACAGTTCTTTTCAGCAGTTTCAGTCACTGTCTCTAATCATCAGGCAGACTTATAACTTTTTATAAAGGAAAAAGTATTACCTGCAATGATTGAGACAAATGCCTGGATATGCGATCCTGTTCGTGACGCCAAATTGTTTTTGTGAAAACAAATTTTGCTTTCCCCTTGTTGTTAATTAATATCATGAAACAGACACCAGTGATTTTGCCAAGAGATCTCTCGTATTTATTTATCATTCTATAAGACATAGGAGGAAGAGACTATAGACAAACAGAGGTCTTCATTCAGCATCGTTGCCATCTCTTCCTGCTTTCCGGACAAAAGGGCTCAGTCTTTATACATACATTACCAGAGAAACATGTGGTTTCCATTAACAATGGAATGTTTATCCAATCCCGGTGGAAACTATACACTATACTTTCAGTCTCACTCCAACACACATTCTCTCGTGCAGTCTAACTTATCACAAAGTCTCCCAAAGTCTCTTTCTCCCACACCTTCAAAACAATGATTGACAAAATGCAATGATTACAAATGATTATGAATGTATATAAAAAGTAATAAAACAGATACATAATACTTCTAATTATGAATATTAATAAAAAAAAACAATAATACTACTAAAAACAACATTAAATTATGAGATTTTCAATCTTCAGTAAATATATCATGCCAATTTCATAATCAATACAAAACATCAAATGCTCTGGAATAAAGAGAAGAGATGGAAACCCAACATTAAGATAAATGATGCTAAGAGTTTACTCTTAAGAAACCCTGTAAGACCCGTGGTTGTAAAATTACAACATCACATTTAGCTCTTCCAAAAACAGATCTGCCAAAATTTTTTTTTTTTGAAAGACCACATTTACATAGCCAATGGGTCCTATTGTTTAGCCTCACAATGCCATTTGATAGTAAATGTGTATATAGGTCTTGCCATAAGGTCATGAACTCATACAACCTGCAAACTTTCCTGGAAGCGCATCTCCATGTTCCATTGGACTGGATATCTCAACATTGAAGTAAGTAAAACCCCAGAAATATTTTTTTTTGTGATTGTTAGAATGTCTAGTTCATGTAAATACTTGGTTATTGTGGAATGCATGCATCAAATTCGATTTTTAGCTTGTTATGTCTTTGTTGTAATTTTACAACGTTGGGAGAGAATGGTAGTCAAAATAGCATGTGCACCTTGCACATTACATGGAGGCAGGGGCGTAGGAGCCATTATACGTGGGGGGGACATGTCCCCCCCACATTTCAAAATCGAAGTTTTGTCCCCCCCACTATTTACCAATGTAAGATTTTGTTTTGCATTGCCTGCCTATCTCTGCCGATTTCGGAGTCTCCAAATGAATCCATTCGGCAACTTTTAAATACATAATTCAATTTTTTAAAAACGGCCGAACTCTTCAGCTGCTAATCTCGTTGTCAGTCGACCATGATCGCGCACCGCTCGCGCACGCGCATCTAGGTGACACGGATAAATGTACGCAACAATATATAATGAGTGTTCCTGGGAGATCCTAGTTGCGCGGGATGTGGAAGCGTAATACATAAAGTGCCCTGGCCTTGAATGACAAGGTAAGGAAAATAAGACTAAATCTAAATTAAATAACCAAGACTAGGTTGGCCATGTGATATTTCTCAGGAGATGTTTCGAGCATTTTACTTCAGACACCGGATTATCAGCAAACTGCCAAGAGAACTGCTAGCTGGCTACTCAAAATAAACTAGCAATCTATTCAGGCAGCATATTTGTGTTTGATCTGTGTGAATTACAGAAATATAAGACTTGCTAGACCTACTTCTAGCTACCAAGGAACCTTTCCACAAGGATAGATTGATTTTATTTTTCAATCTATCCTTGGGGGGTAAGCTAGGTGGTTAATGGAAATTAAATCAACCATTTATTTGAATTTTTTATTTTTAGTTAATCAGTACATGACTGATTAACAGTAATGTAAATGCTAAATGTCCTAATACCTGTTGATACTACAACAATGCAAAGTATATGCTCTTAACCTTGCAGTTTTTCACATATCATGTAAGACTCATTTTCTCAATTTCTTTGCACAAAACTCTCCAGAAAGTGCCATTTAATGGTTTATTTTTCAAAAAAAATTCCCGGGGGAGCATACCCCCGGACCCCCCTAGGGAGAGCCCACATAATAAATCACAATTAATACAGTCTGTTCCTATAAGTCTTTAGAAATTAGCATTTAAGTGCCTTATATATAAAAAAATATATACAAAAATTCAGGAATATTTCCCAAATATCTGCTTGTTGTAAGGCAGACACTGTTTGAGGAATGGATGGTTATTCAAGGACAGGTGTGGATGTTCAGACATTAAGGGGTTGCATGGCCCATTTTTCAGGGACAGGTGTTAATGTTCTGGAGTGTGGGGATGTAAGAGGTCTGGGGGTTTGTATATTCATTTTAGAATTGTGTGACTTCAGTGGAATGTATCACATAAATAGGATTCATTTATATTTCAGAATGAGAGGACGCTGCAGACACTGCAAAAAAGGATATTCGAATACGCTCTGCAGGAAGTGCAATCTCCAGAGCTGCTTTTGAGACTACCCTTTCTAGTGAACACTGGACACTGTTTCTTTGACAGTTTTCAATATGTTTTGTATTTAATATTTATATTTGATGTTTCTTTTTAATAAATTCTGATTCAGAATAATAATCAGGTGATTATTATTATTATTCAGGGCTGGACTGGCCATCGGGCATACCGGGCATTTGCCCGGTGGGCCGACGTGCTTTGTGGGCCGATGTATCTCATACTTAATTATTATTATTTTTTTTCTGAACGGCCCATAAAACTCGTACATCGGTGGCCCATTGCGTTTAGTTTTGTTTAATTGGCGGCTCTGGGATCTTTGTGCCGGTGTAATGCATTGGACAAAAAAGTCCACGTAGTTTTTTCTTTTTCTCACAGACCGGCGCATGATGACACGCGTAAATCAGCAGCCCATTGGTTATTTTCTTGATTGACACTGGGCTGGTCCAATCACATCTTTAAACTCCTCCCCCTTTGAGCTCTGAGTGAGCGAGCAATGTCAGTGTGTATCTGTCAAAATAGTCAGAGCGATGGAGAAGAAACGCAAGGAATGTGCAGAGAAATAGCGCGAAAAAATAAACTTCAAAGGCCCTTCAAGTGGCTGATGAGGATAGTGAGGAGGATAAGAAGAGAAATAAGTGAGTGTAGAGAACTGTGGTAAGCAGAACTAGGCTACTTTCAGAACACTATGGTGTGTTCACACCGAACGCGAATAGAGCGTCAAGTACGCGTCTATCGCGTTTAGTTAGACGCTTGAACATTCGCTCGAGTTCAAATTTTTCAACTTGCGCGGAAGACATTCGCGGCAAACGCGTCGCCCAATTGGCGTCATTCGCAACGCCCGGCGCAAATGATGCGTCTATTCGCGTCTTTGCATTGACTTTGTATGTAATCTACTCGCGCAAATAATTAAATTCGCGTTCGGTGTGAACACACCATTAGGCTATGTAGGAACCCACTACCCAGTTACGCATTATTTACACATCTGTATATTTGACGATTACGCATTTTATTCGAATTGTAATGAGACAATAATGAGTAATGAGTTTGTAAACCATATTATTCTTCAAAATAAAAGCTGAATGCCGTTTCCGTCAAAATAAAAGATCATGTGCTTATCTCTGTATAGAAATTAGTACAAAACTAATTATGAAAGTTGCTTTTATTTTTCAGTGCATTTGTTTTACAACATATGGCTATTACTGCCATGGGATTAATATTATAACTATTATTATGTAGTAGTGTAATGTAGACAGACACTATATCACAACTAAAAGAGTTTTGAGTTTTTCTTTGTTCAATTTGCACACTGAATATGGGTTGGAGCTCTTTATTTTTAACTCTCAAAGTGCACCAGATTGATGAATTTAACATTAAAAAGCACAAAATTTTCTTACGGGGGAGCATGCCCCCGAACCCCCCTAGAGGGACAGAGGTGCACTCACCACAGATTTCACAAAAACCTGGGAGAAAAAAACGGTATTGTTATCCCAGCTTATAGCTTTCTTTACGATTCATCACTGTGGAGTATAGTTCAACTTAGTAGTTATTTCATCGGTTAACTCTTACTCACTCCTATTCACTTATGGCATTAGTGGTTTTAATAGGGGTTGGTATACATATTCAAGGGCGTGCAAAGTTCGGTTGTGTTATATAGTGGGCCAGTCTGGGCCAAAAATGCCCGGGCCGATTTTTTGTCCCAGTCCAGCCCTGTTATTATTCATGATATCTACTGTTATGGTGCTATGAAAGCAATCCACACTTCAAATGAGCCCTTAGTTGTTCTGTCTATTTGTTCTGACAGTAGCTGCGCTTACATGGACCCTTATAATCAGATTGGCGGCTCAATCGGACTAAAAAACCTTCATGTAAACACCTTAATCGATCTGATTGAGCTCAATCCGATTGGAACGAGCTGTTCGTCCTGTTGAGTAAAGTGTCATCTAAATGAGTGTCCCGTCATTCTAAAATGCTCCTTTCTACTACAATACTACAATTTCGTCCGCGTTTTCCGTTTTTTTTCATTCTTTTTTTTAAACCATTAAGTGGTTTCTCTACTGCATGGATCTTCATGTGTTTTTCCAGGTAGCGTTTAATAGCAAAACTCTTTCCACACTGATCACACGTGGGCGGCTTCTCTCCAGTGTGGATCCTCTCATGTCTTTTCAGATCTGTTGACTGACTGAATCTCTTGTCACAGTGTGAACACTTGTAAGGTTTTTCTCCAGTGTGGATCCTCTCATGTGTTTTCAGATTTCCCAACAGACTGAATCTCTTGTCACAGTGTGAACACTTGTAAGGTTTTTCTCCAGTGTGGATTTTCATGTGTCTTTGAAGTTTATCAGATTTCATGAAGCTCTTCCCGCACTGATCACATGTGAACGGCTTTTCTCCGGTATGAACTCTCAGGTGATAATCAAGATATTGTTTGTTTGAGAATCTCTTTTCACACTGATCACACATAAACGGCTTTTCTCCAGTGTGGATTCTCATGTGACTCTTAAAGTGTCCAAAATCCGTGAATCTCTTCCCACATTTATCACATGCGTATGGCTTCTCTCCAGTGTGGATCCTCATGTGTCCTTTAAGGTGAGTTTTTTGTGTGAAGCTCTTCCCGCACTGATCGCAGGTGAACGGCTTCTCTCCAGTGTGAACTCTCATGTGAACATCAAGACTTCGTTTGTATGAAAAACTCTTCCCACACTGATCACATGGGTACGGCTTCTCTCCAGTGTGGATCCTCATGTGTTTCTTCAGTTTTGCTTTGTCTGTAAAGCATGTCCCACATTGATCACATTCATGCGGCTTCTCTCCGGTGTGGATCCTCATGTGAACATTAAGATGACTTTTGTGTGTGAATCTCTTTTCACACTGATCACACATGTACGGCTTCTCTCCAGTGTGAACTCTCATGTGAACAACAACACTTCGTTTATATGAAAAACTCTTCCCACACTGATCACATGGGTACGGCTTCTCTCCAGTGTGGATCCTCATGTGTTCCTTAAGTCTTCCTTTTTGTGAGAAGCATGTCCCACATTGATCACATTCATGCGGCTTCTCTCCGGTGTGGATGCTCATGTGAACATTAAGATGACTTTTGTGTGTGAATCTCTTTTCACACTGATCACACATGTACGGCTTCTCTCCGGTGTGGATCCTCATGTGTAATTTAAGGTATGCTGATTCTGTGAAACCCTTCCCACATTTATCACATGCATACGGCTTCTCTCCAGTGTGGATTTTCATGTGTCTTTTAAGTTGATCAGGTTTCATAAATCTCTTCCCACACTGATCACATGTGAACAGTCTCTCTCCAGTATGAAGTCTGAGGTGATAATAAAGACTTTGTTTGCTTGATAAACTCTTTCCACACTGAGTGCAGGTTGTAGATTTATTGGCTCTTCTTTTCTTTGAAATTGTATTTTTAGTCTTTGAGCGACTCAAAGGTTTTTCTCCAGGTTTGACATGATGTTCCTCCTCCACTTCACTCAGTTCTTCACTCTCCTCCTCCACTTCACTCAGTTCTTCACTCTCCTCGCTCTCCTCCATCAGGTCTGACATGAAAGAAAATAAGTTTATTTTCATTTTCAGTAAATCAAAATTAAAAGAGAGAAATATGAAGTGAAAGGATATAAAAGTGAGTTCTGATGTAATAGACAACTGCTTTAAAATACTAGAATCAGTTCAATCATAAGAATCTTTCCATGAATGAGGTACATTGGTCTTGTTCGGAAATTTTTGAACTAATCACAACTAACATTTCTTTTTCTTGCAAAATTAACAAAAATGCTTTTGAAAAGTAAATGTTTCTAACATAGCCCTGTTGTATTACAAATGTATTAAATGTTTAATTTAGGTTCCAATACAATAGTATATAAACTGAGAAAGTTTAGTAGACTGGATTTAGCATTTGAGTTATAAATGATGATTATATCAGCTGATATCAGAGTTTCCATTCCTGCTAGTCCTGTTTCTCTCTAATGTAAGTTAAATGAGTCAGATTGTTGAGACTCACTCTTTGTCTTTAAACGGCTCTAGGAGCCCCTGTCCCAGTCGTTGAATAGTCAAGCTGATTGGATTAGCACCTATGCATTTGAATGACACTGTTATGCTGATGAGATCAGGGCTGGGGAATTTGCTTTGTTTCAGAGTGTCTCCACCTCTATGTAAATCCCTCCCCCTTGAAATGTATATAAACTACAAGGTACACTGCCTTAAATAGACTAGACTGGGATGACTACAGCGACGCACATCGAGTTCTCAATAAAGAGTCCCGTGACAATACCCATTGGGGGGTGTTATATGTTATATGTTTGTAGCAACATTGAGAATGGACCAAACACCAGGGGAAGCGTTCGTACATAATCAAACACAAGGGGCTGCATATTCCAAATTATCCCTGAGGCTATGAGCCAAGAAGACCTTTTGTTGCTTAACTAAAGGAAGAATGTTGTCAATGTTTTATAATTTGGCAAGAACAGATCTGTTCAGAAATATTGAAACAAGAGGCCCTAACAAGGAGTCACCTGACCCCTGCGACTAAACAGACTGAACCATTCAGGATCCCGAGCTAGTTTTCCCCTCATCAATTATTATAACTCCTTAAGGCTGAAAAAGTGGACTTGCATACAAAATACCCTTTGTCTTGAAGACAATTATTGCGAACTGAACCCTCACGTGGTAAACACCACGGATGCGACAAATGCTGACCATAAGGATACACACACACACATAAGGACTTTCCTCCAATTCTCCAATACCAATAAAACTCATCCCAGGACAATTCTCGATGGACTTTGATTATATGTTGTTTCTACAATATATGTGTGTGTCTCTCATATGCTTAAATGCCATACAAGTCATGTAATTGTTTTGAATATTAGAGATACTGGAATGAAAGTGTCGTGTTTCCTATCATTAAGCTCGTATGTTTTTAATTCAAAAGATGGCTTGATTGAAATCTGGGTAAAAATGTTTATGTTCTTATAATTGTAATAATGTCTAAACTGTCGCCTCTTGTTCTCTCTGCTAAGGCCTGCAGAACAATGAGACCACAGATGACACATGATTCCCGTTGAGAGGAAGGGGGGGGGGGGGGGGTAGAAAAGACCCCCTTCTCAAATAATCATATAGTATCTTATTGTCCGAATTCCAAATTCCTCCTGGAGGCGGGACAAACATTTTGAGTTTAAAATCTTAGACCCGAACACAGAATCGCTCTCTGGTCTTCTCTCTTGTGATCCTCTCTCTTGTGATGCGCTCTTGCGCTCTTGTGATGCGCTCTGAACGCTCTCGGGAAAAGCTCTCTGGACTCGCTCTCTAAGCTCTTGTGATGCCCGACGCCGGGTGGAGCCGACGATGGTTATAGTAACCATGTAGACGCAGAGACAAATGACCCAAATCAAGATATGGGTTAAAACAGATTTAATTGAAGCCATCTCGTCACACTTTCCTTTCTTTTCTTAGTTTGTTTCTTTTCCGTTAAAAGTCTCGGTTCTAAGTTAAGTGTTGCTGCAAAGTTTCGTTTTAACGTTTCAACTGCAAAACCAGCTTTCAACTTCAAAGACTTTCATTCATCCGCGCCAACACACCACGTGATTGGCCGCCCCAAGACATCTATCCAGGCACGAGACAGCCAGCCAACCAACGGACCGGGAAACCCCCTTTACGACAAAAAGGAGAATCCCCAAAGCAACGCAAAGGACAAGCAAGTAACGCCTCCAGACTCTTAACTGGTGTTTAATATAAAATTGAATCACCCGCCTAAGAAACGATAAAAGGGTGAAATTAATTATTGATGCTTCGTTCAGGTTGTGTCTTATAAGTGCATAGAATCTTGGGAATCTCACCATCTAACTCCTAAAACTCATTCTTCCTCACTCTCTGTCTTTCTTCAACTTGTATGAATGCGTGTGCGTGTGTTTGTGTTAGATATTTGTTTTGTGTGTTAGCCATAGGCTTATAATCAATAAAGTATTGTTTGTATTTGAAAAGAGCAGCATTACTTGTGATATGTGCTTACCGATTTATTGTCTTGAACTTCGATCTAAGTTACCTATGCTTTGACCCTTGATTTATTTCTTGATTTAGCTGTTAGCTGGGAATCAGTCTTTCTTGGCCAAGAAGATATTATATTTCCTAGAATTAATAATTGTTTATGCTTTCCGTTCATTGGATGAACTGATAAACTGATCATATTATTGATTTTGCTACAGTAAATTCTGAAAATAATTCAATTATTAATTATTGATCATAATCTGTTATGAATAATAATTAATTATATTTATACGTGCGTACAATCGCTACATTATTTATGGTGGAGAATGCGGGCAGTTTAACCTAAATTGTAAGCATATACCAAGTAATTTATCTTTTCATATTGTGCGGATGAGAGATCCGAACCTGCGAAAGTCTGTGTGTGACGGATGGAGAGCGCGCAGCGCGCGCCCTGTTTGAATGAATCTGCTGCTTGAGAGACGCACCCCTGAGAGAGCTGTTAATCTAGTCTGTCTGCCTCCATATATGTTATTTTTCAACTGCAGTAAAATAACCCAAGATATAAAATATCACACAACAATAAGGTGAGAATTGAGCGTGTTCCTCAATTTCTGAAATACCTTGATTAGGCTATAGCTTACTGACGTCTGCGTGTTCCAGCGTCTGTCAAAGCTATACATGTGTGTGTATCAGCCAGAGAGCTTAACAACATTATACTGCAGTAATTAAAATAACTATATAAGAACGAATATTCTCCTCACAGAGCGATGAGCGTGTTCCTCATCTAACGTTATATATTTTTATCCGATTCACAGTGCGTGTTCCACTGCGACCCGTGATAAACATAGAAGCAGTTATATTTATCTGATTGTCAATGCGTGTCCCATTGCAATCCCAGAAATAAACAGCTGTTTGTCTATGTTTGCTTGTATGTTGGTGTCTGTTCAATGAATTCTCGTGTAAACACTCGCGAGTGTTGTTGAATAAGAGTTATTTTTATTGTGTTCAAGTAAAGCTTGACGTTGAAACTAACCAACAGTGAAGAACCCTGTTGTTCGTGTGCTCAGATAAACTTGCACATGAGACGATCCGCCGAGGTCGTCATCGTTCCATCTATTATAACGCAAAGCTGTCGCTTGCTTAAAGTTAATATCACTCCTAATAAATTGAGTGAAGCCCCACATCGTAAAACCAGCTAAAGCTACGAGTGGTGTATTTTTGTACAGTTTGAAATGCGCCGACATTTCCCGTAATATGATCGACTGTTACTGTACATGCATATGCTATAAACATTGTTGAAATGCGCCGATCATTTCATGTAACAAACTGTTGCAATTCACGTGGTTGCCCACTAGAGTTTGTTTGGTCGCTATAGTTACGATCGTGACACGGAAGTCTTTACCAACGCTTCCGGGGAACTCTGACCTCTCACAGGCTTGCTTGAGTCAGAGTGTAAACAAACCCTTCGGTGGCTAGCTAAGCCAGCTAACCCCTTGCTAAGATAACCAAAGCAGTTGTTACAGTGAAGCCTGCTAAAGCCTTAAACATTATTTACATCAGTAGTATTAACATCACTGGTTAAATACAGTGTCTGTTTGAACAACGTTAAAGTGATTTAACAACTTTACACCTGTTGGTCTTTTCTTCTGTCTTATTTACCTTTCCCATATCTTAACTTACTTAACCCATATTTTCCGTGAAAAGGAAGTCGTTTGCAATTATTAATTCCTTTACCTGCATTTTACTTGAAAAAGAAAATGCTGGTTTATGATTATTAATTGTCAAGTTCGAATTTGATTTTTTTTAAGGGAATTATTAAATTTAAATTTAAATTCTATTTTTCTTAACAGGTAATTTCTAATGATTTCTCGATTTATTTTTAATAAATCTAATTTCATAATTTCTAAATTTCTCTTTTAGATCTAATCACAGGCAAATAAGTCTTAAACTTTGAAAGTTAAGAACTTATTCCACCAACATTTTCCCTATTACAAAATATTGTTAGACTCATACTTGCTTCTTATTGTTATTGCGTGGTATCCTCCTTTTCTCATTTATTTCAGTTGTGGTTATAAACTTAACCATTCTATTTTACTTATTCATTTACCCCTTTATTTAATTTCCCTTTCTTATTTTGTCCACTATCATTATTACTTTCATCTTCATTACCTCTTCCTTTTTGCTTGGAAGTGACACACCTGAGCCTCAATAGGAGACATTGGTATCTCACTACGAGTTTCAAATAAATCAGAGATAACCCTCTCTTTCAAAAGTTTATTTGTGAATGTTTAGTTGTTTGGCAACTGTCAATTCCATACTCGTAGTTCGACAAAGGCTCCAGCCATTTGTGGATCCAATCTCCTTCCCTCCTTCCCTTCTCACATCTTTCCTGTGCTGTCCTGCTTTACTCCATCCCATTCTTCGCACTTGTAGGGAACATACCTGGGAGAACCATCAACCGATTCAAAAGAAAGAGAAAGACAATCTTTCCAAAGAAATCATTAGGTATTTGATTTTTTAATCAAACCCCCTCTGTTCTCCATACTCTCCCTGCATC